GTGACTAAATTAGTATGATTGTACCAAACAGAATATTTTTGGCAGATGTTGCAAGTTTCTTCACTAGCAAAAACACACAAAAACTAACAGCACTTTGAAATGAGAGCACAAAAAAAAAAACAACAACCCAACTAAGGATTTTACAAAGTGAAACACACTTAGTTGGCGGTTGAAGGTAGGTTTACTGACCCAGATCTGTATGTAGAGGCCTTTCATTATGTTGTAAATCCCATCTGATAAAACAATCAAATTATAATAATCTCCAGGGAATTTGGGTAACAGTACCCAATTGTGTTTGGGGGAAAAAAAAAAAAAATGAGAGAGCGAAAGAGCGAAAGAGCGAAAGAGCCGACTTCTGTATTAAAAGTTGGATGTCATTGGACGAATTAAAAAAAAATAAAAAAAATTTTTTTAAAACACCACGCATTTGACTGGCGCACTACCGCTCTACAATATCCAAGCATAAAAAACTCACCAAATCACCCCAAATCACTCCATAGCGTAACCGAAGAAAATCACTACCCTATGCTCAAAAAAAAAAATCAAAACCACCCTTGTGGAGTAGGAAGGTCTGGAGGTATCTTGGTTAGGCCGTATTAATCTTATCAAAATGATGATACTACCACATATACTATATCTCTTTATAACCCTGCCCATATCTTTCCCGAACTCACTGCCCAAACAATTCCAAAGCACTATCAATGCCCACATATGGAAAAGGAAGCCCCCGAGTGTAGCGAAGGGGTGCCTGGGGCTCCCTTACACGAAAGGCTTACTACAGGGCATCCCTTCTGGCACAATGGATAAGACTACTGAGGAACTCCAATAGCTCCCACGAACCACTCTGGCTATCCCTCGAAAATGCATGCCTAGACACACGCAACACCATTCACCACCTATGGACATGCTCGGACCCCCGAGCCTCTGAAGGCCCAATATTACACTGCTCAAAAACTGATAACTGCCTGGAAAGCCTGGAGCCCACTGGTGTTGGACCCAACACAACTCTTTAGAGAGGCACCAATAACAACACTAGCAGCTTGCTCCATGGGACTGCAGGTAGCAGCCCCATGGAGCGAGACAGGTTTGCGACCTAATGAATGGGGAACAGATGAAATCGTTCCCTGATTTGCAGGAGGAGTTGAAACTGGCTCCCAGAGACAATGTTTTTTTACCTAAGGGTCAAAAATATAATACAAACCCGCAGTAAAAACGTTACCATTAAAAATGACACACCGGCCATTACACCAAGCCAATTGTCACTGAGCAAATTCGCTAAACCTCTATCCCTATGCTATAATCACGAGTGCAGTACCAGGTAAAATGAAGTACATAAAACAATGGGAGGAAGAAATATGCTACCATATCCCCCTAACAGACTGGCAGTCAGCGATGGCTGGCACAAAACAGGCCTCGCGCAGCCTTTCGTTATGGGAGGCGTATTGCAAAGTCACCATGAGGTGGTACCTAGTACCACAAAGGCTGGCACGTATGTACACAGGTACAACAGAGCTATGCTGGAGATGTGAAGCAGAAACAGGCACCATGTTCCACATATTCTGAAAATGCCCTAAACTGAATGACTTCTGGAGACAAATCCAATCCACAATCTCCCACAGGACTAGCCTCCCTCCACATCCTCCTGCACCCAGAAAAATACGTATTTCACATTATTCCTGACCTCAACATAAGTCCTCATAAGAAAGTGATATTAAATATCCTCACAGTAGCCAAAACAGCCTTAGCCAGTAATTGGAAAAGCAAGCAGATTCCCCAGATAGAAAATATACACAATAAAATGGGTATGATCAGCGTCTATGAAAGGATGGCTAGCAAAGTCAATGGTTGCCCAGATAAATATGAAAAAGAGTGGGAAAGCTGGAGAGCCAGTTAAAGGTACTAGCAGGTAATTGAACGATTTGGTCACTTGAACCCGCACAGTGGGGCATGACAACTGACGCCAGCACTAAACAATCCATGTGAGAGAACGTAGCCATTGAGATGTTATCACCCAGTGATGGTGGAATGAGACCAGGGTTCCCCCCTTCCCTTTTCATTCTGTACCCCTTTCCCCCTCCCTAGTTAGTCACAAACGTTATAGCAAAACGTGGCTCTACAATATGCAACACATATGTATGCCGAATTGTCATGTAAGTCGACAAGCTGCACAAAGAGATTGTAAAAAAACAAATGTAAACCTTTTAGAACAGTAGAAGTGTTGATATGCACACTGTGTTGTATTGTTTCTAGACTGCATTAATAAAAACTATAAATGAGAAAAAAAAAAAAAGTTGGATTTCTGCCCTAATCCAAGTACAACCCAATACAAGGATGCTGAGAGAGCTCCATGATAGCAGCCTTGCAGGAGAATCAGGAAGTAGTGCTGCGGTCACAGGCACCCGAGTGAGTTGTCAAACCATTCGTAAAATGGTTTCATTGTGTACTCTTGCAGGTACCATGGATTCCCTGACACCATAACCACTACAGTGGGCTTTAACCAGACACTGTTTCATGAAATATTCAAGAGGTGCATAAAACTGACAATTTAGACTACAACTAGTTGTTGTGAATTGGTTTGTCAATATTCATTATATGATGTTTAGAAAAACAGTCAACAAGCAACATTGGTAAAAGTATGATGGGAAGTTAAAGAGCTGTGGTAAAGTACACGAAACTCAAAATAATTTAAACAATTATTATATTTTGAGAACACAAATAAATTTTATACATACACACAAACTGATGTAATTGCCTGACTTTGGAAAATAAATCTATATTTTCTAATGCATATTTTGTGCATTCACGCTGCACGTATTTAACATATTAGCCTATTATGCCTTACTTGCACATTAATGGCATGCGGCTCCAGTAAACAGAATGCCCAGCAATGTAAGCAGCACTATTGTCTGCATATTTTATTTGGCATATGTGAAATCATTTTTCGTATTCACAAAAGTATATGTAGCATCTTTTGGCCATTGTGATTTCTTACCAGAAGCCAGCACATTGCCTTAATCCTTGATATATCATTTCGTTCAAAATGAAGATGTACATGCCAACCCACTCAGGAAGCAAAGCACACAATGCAGACACATAAGCCTGTCACCAGTCATCAAATGCTGCTATGCCTGCTCTCTTTGGCAAGCTATTCATGTAGGTGGATCTTTAACACGTTAATTTTTCACAAATCAATAATAAATAAAAAAAAAATATATATATATATATATATATATACATACATACATACACAAACATACATATACATACACACACACACACACAGAATATAATCCTTAGACTCAATGTTTCAGACAGCAACAAGAGACGATGCTCGCCCCTATTCTGACAGTAGCAATTGATCTCTGAAGGGCGCTCACCCCCATTTTCACATTTCATCACCTGACAGCAGGCATCCATCTTTAACTTAGACCATGAGCATTTTAAGAGGGAGACGACAGGAATTAAAAATGTTTATAACATATTTAGTCAACGTATTCAAGAAGAAAAAAAAAATATATATATATATATATATCTCTTTGCAAATTAGTACTGTACAAACTAGTAATTAGGATTTGTACATAGAAAGGTTCAGAATTTTTATATTCACTGAAACATCCAACTGAAGACTGTTACAAAGAGGTGTGTTACAGAATACATTTAAAAGAAGACATTTTTGTGAGGAGAAGTTTGCACTCTGTGAGATAAAGATGGAATACACTTCCTTTATAACAAACAAAGAGGGTTCTTTCACTAAACTAGAAAACATGGATAATTGAACAGGGGATTCCAAATATTAGATCAAAATCGCTCACCTGGTAAAATAACTGATTTGGAGGAATTCTACAGATTTGGCTATTTGGGCCTAAAATGTGCAGTTATTACTTAGTGAATACACACAACATACCAAATACTGTACCTTTAAAATAAATGGGGGTAAGTTAAACAGGGTTTGGCACAATATCTAAAACTGATGGTCTTCCTTATCACATGCGCATAGCCAACATAGATGATGCACTTACAGGACAGAGACTACATCACTTTCTGTCAATAGGCTATTAGTATAACCATACATGGACTGTTATAAAAACTAGTTCACTGTGCTACATTACACATTGCAAGGAGTTCACAAACTGCATTTTGTGGTATAAACCTGCAAAATTTATCATTGTAGACACAACAGCATTAAATGTTGCATATACAGCATTAGTAACATTTTCTTTATAGTGTATGTAAAAGAGTAATGTTCGATCTGATGGCAACTGTCAAGGTCTTGGACACCCAGACTAAGCTACAAACACTTGCCTTTAGACAGCATATTGCAAGTATCTATGCAGAACATGGTAATATTGCACACGAATGATTAAAGTATGGCCTTTTCTAAATACAAAGGGTGTATTCAAATAAACACCAAAGTGTAATGAATGGAAAACCAAATTTCTACATTTAAGTTAACACAGCCAAGCTTTGACTACAGCCATTTTCAAAAATCATCTATTTTGGCCTATATTTTTCCAATCTGGTTTTATGGATATGATACCCTCAGACCGTGCTTGGAGTCTATGTTCACACAGAGGAACTAGATTTAAAAAAAAAAAAAAAAAAGGGGGAGAGAAACCATCTTACATCATCACTATATAAATATTGTGCATCTAACAGCTGACACTGATACCCATTGTGGTATATACCACCCATGCATCAGCTATAAGCAAGCTTTGTAAGCTACGCAGAGGTGTATACCATGCAATAAGGTGTGTGTGTGTACCATTATTATAAGGTGTGTATTTATTCCCCTTACACACCCACTCACTACACAAAATGTGTGTGTCCATGACAAAAAATTGTGTGAATCCTGAAAATGCAATGTATATGGAGTGTTGTGATTCATCGTGCTGCCTCCCTGTATAATGCGCATTGTACACACAGAGAGCCCCATTGTCCATACTGTGAGCATGCTGTGTGCCCGGTATGGGTTACACTGGGCGGATGAATGGACAGACAGAGAGAGATAGGAATAGGGAGAGAGAGAGAGGGAGGGAGTGGGGGAGACCGTATAACACACATGTGCCATGCAGAGGCCCAGGCTGAGCCCGGACACCCCCCGGGACACCCGGACACTCACCGAGCAGCAGCAGCTTGAGCTCCCGGCGGGCGTCCCTCTTATCCCGGCGGAGCTGCCTCTCGATCTCGTCGTTGATCCTCCTGGCTTCCTTGGCCTCCTCGCTGAGGCAGCACGCCATGATGGACTCCAGAGTCATGTCTGCCGACTGGTGGAGAGAGAGAGACCCCCACCCTGCTGGCAGCCACCGACCGACCTGCTGATACCGCTAGCACGGACTGCTCGCAGCAAAGGCCACGCAATAACAACACGGGCGGCTCGGGCGGCGCACAGGGCAATGTCCGGCAGGGAATGGCAGCCGATGAGCTCCACTGGGCAGGGGGGAGAGGGATGCAGGTGCCCCCGCCGAGCAGCTGATGTGAAGGCACCCTGCGGTGGGTGGGTGCTGCCGTAGCCCGAGTACAGGGGACACCGAACACCCGATCTGTGCTGTCACTCGGCTGCTCCAACTCCGCCTTCTCTCAGAACCATGCACCAAATAACCTGGTGACATCCATGGGAAGCACGGCAAACACACAGCCAGGGGCAGGCGGCAAGCCTGGCTCTCACACTGCAGATTTACTGCTCAATCCTACACTGCCACGGCCACGGCCCTTCTTTATGTCTTTTCTTTCTCTTTGCAAATGCACACTTCCCCCACCCCCCCCAAAGAAAGGTCCCTTTGCAATGAGTGCAAGCTCTCCTGCAGGCAAATCCAGACCCTAGTGTAATGCTAACAGGCTAATCAGCTTGTACCCCTCCCCCCTTCTCACACATTTTTTTTTTTCCTTCTGATTTTTTTTTTTTTCCCCCTCAGTAGAGATCCTCAAATTTGCCACCCTTCAGATCCTTCTTTTATTTTTCTCCTTTAAAAGATCTCCTTTTTGTTGTTTCAATGCCTTGTCCTTATGCATCCAAGGATCCTTATGGTCTTCTTGGTGTCACAGGATATGCCTGCCTGCAATCATTTCCACTGCCAGCCTTTTTTTTTTTTTTTCTTCAATGGCTCTGCTCCCCGGGCGTGGTAAGGCAGAATATGGCGGACTTTCTCCAAGCAGGCAGGGATAGACAGTTATATGCAGGAGTGCAAAATCCCAGGGAATAAACAGCAATGTTTCACTTACAATGCATAAACCTCATCCCTACATAGAAAAACAAATCACTGCAGCTTGTCTTGTTCATCGGCAAGCCCTGGCTTCCATTGCATCCACTTAGCATTGCAGCTCACAGAAATAGATATTTTTGGTTTCTTCTCCAGTCCATGCATGTAATTTTATTACAACCAAATCACTATTGGATCATATGACGTCGGGAAACAGGGGAGGAGATAGTGCAACTCAAAAAAAACAAACCAATATATATATATATATATACACAGTAACACTGCGTTAGAATCATGATTTTGAGAATAGCAAAACAATATAATTTTATATTCTGCTGTAGGAAATTGAAATACAGATAACA